AGCAACCTCAAACTCTTGGGCTCAAGCAATCCTCTTCCCTTAGCCTCCCGAGTAGCTGGGACTACAGGTGCCTGCCACAATGCCCAGCTATTTTTAGAGACGAGGTCTCGCTCTTATTCAGGCTGGTCTCAAACTTGTGAGCTCAAGCAATCCACTGCATCTCAGCCTCCCAGAGTGCGAGGATAATTATAGGGTGAGCCACTGTGCCTGGCCTCAGAGCACTCTTAAAGGGAAAGAAACAGAGAGAAAGAAGAAAAGAATACTTCTTTATTTTCATTATTTTTACTCTTTCCAAATCTAAATTATACAGTCCATCATTCTCCTCCTAGTCTAGATTTCTAGGTTAGCACTTGCGGGTATATAAATATCTACAGGACTAGATGTTTACATTATGAGTATTAATTGAGCATCTACTGACTGCAAAGAGTAGAATGATCCTTCTCTGCCTTATCAGCCCAAAGTTAATAAAGGGGCAGGGCATGGCGGCTCACTCCTGTAATCCTAGCATCTGGGAGGTCGAGGCAGGTGGATTGCATGAGCTCAGGAGTTAGAGACCAGTTTGAGCAAGAACAAGACCCTGTCTCTACTAAACATAGAGAAACTAGCCATTGTGGTGGGTGCCTATAGTCTCAGCTACTCAGGAGGCTAAGGTACACACTACCGAGGAAGTCTTTAGCAAATGCGAACGTGGGCCAGGAGCGGTGGATTGCTTGAGCTCAGGTGTTCGTGAACAGCCTGAGCCAAAGCAAGACCCCACCTCTACTAAAAATAGAAAAACCGAGGCAAGAGGATTGCTTGAGCCCAAGAGTTGGAGACTGCTGTGAGTTATGATGCCATAGTACTCTACCCAGGGTGACAGTTTTAGACTCTGTCTCAAAAAAAAAAAAAAAAAAATTTAATGTTTAATAGACCAACAAGAAAACCATAAATTATCTAGAAAAACCGAGGCAAGAGGATTGCTTGAGCCCAAGAGTTGGAGACTGCTGTGAGTTATGATACCAGGGCACTCTACCCAGGGTGACAGTTTTAGACTCTGTCTCAAAAAAAAAAAAAAAGGAATTGAAGCAGAAAAGGTATATTGTAACTCATTCTATGAGGCCAGAATTACTCTAATACTCAA